TATGGTTTAATGATCTTAACTGAAATGTAGAATTTTTTAAATGAAATTCTAACTAAATACAAAGATGATGCAGACAAATTACTAAGGATACATGTTTTTAGCTTGCTTAGTTCAAGGAACCTAAGTCTGGGATGAACACTGTACCTTTACAGTAAGGCTTACCCTCAGGGTCAAAACACAGAGTTGTAGCATAACTTCTTTTTGATCACTGACATCTCTGAGAATCTACTGAAAACTATTAAATTTCCCAGAAAATTCTGCATGTGCGTACTCATAACACAAAGTTCTACTACAACTGAGAAGGAAGGAGTCATAGGATTTGTCAATTACAGGGAAACAATTGCTATCACTGATTACATTAAGATGACAAACCTAAAACATATAAAGCTTTTGGTATCTGTAAACACTCCAATGAGAATAAGGGTATAAGACAGGCATTAGGAGTCTGAAGATGTAGAGGAATGCTCAGTATCTTCTGTTCTAAGGCACTCTATAAATGTTCTAATGCCACAGTAGCCTGGCTCTGCTAACTGTCCATCCCTGCTCTGCAATGACCTAAGACACAAGACCATTCCATGAGCGCCACCTTACTACTACAGACAAGTAACCATCCCTTTAGTCCCTCCAGTGACACAACTTAGAGCTTCAGAGGGCAAGCCATTCCAAGTTCTTTTCTAATTTGACTAACCTAGTTTAGAAGGTTTAAATGTCACTCTTCTGAATTTCTCCTCTACTTATTTACTAACAGGTAACAAAATAGCTTACCATTCAAAGTATCTAATCCTAAAACCAGGTTCAAAAAAATCACTTAGCTTTGCTTCCACCAAATAGAAAAGTTGGAATTATGCTGAAAGAACATTCTCTCTGGAAATCAAATTACAAGAGGATCACTACTGGTTCAGTTCAAGAAAAACACAAGGTTTCCTTGAACTTCTTTTCACTACATAAAAAATGAAAAATGCATCAACATTAATGAGTATGGGTAAAATTTAAGGTTATGGTCACTTATAGTTAATATCAGTTGTGTTAGCAAATAGTTTATTCTGTTTCTACTTAATCCTGAGATTCAATAATAAACAGATCTAACGGACACAATATAAATATAGAAGTCATTATTTATTCATTACATAAAACCTGATTTTCAAGAACTACAAGTTCTCTCAGTCACCTTCAAAATCAACTTTACAAAAAGAATTGTCTTACTGAAACCAGCATATTAATAAGGTCCATTTATCATATTATAAAGAAATCTCTGAAGCAAGTGCTTGTTTCCTCTGAAGACAATGGAAACAAACAACTATATCTGACACTTTCTTCCTTAAATAATCCCACTCTAGTGCTGGTTAAAAAAAAGTTCACAAATATTTTGCAGGGGTTGATTTAGTCCAATCCAATTTAGTCAAAACAATTAATTAGACAAACAAAACAGCATTTTCAAAGGACTGGTGAGTGAGAGGGCGTGCGCGCTTCTCCCTAAAAGCCACAGACTGCACAGGTGTAAGAAGAGGGATACTTTTTGGTTCTTCAGCAAGGACCAAAGCAGGGATACAAAGAAGGTTCACCTAAATGAATTCTGCAAATTGCATCACAGCATTATTTCACTAAGTTTATGTGGTCGGTACACAACATTCCCCTTGGGTACAAACACATTTCCTAATAACCACTTTTCTACTTATCCCAAATAGCTCCAGTAGCTTGAAGAATCGCTGTGTTTAAAACACACACACAAACCCGAAAAAAAAAACGAAAAAAGCCTGAGAAGTCAATGCCACACGTATCACACCAGGACTGTATTACACATAAAAGGCACAAGAAAGCTGACAGACATTATTACTCCCAGCATGTCTCTGCTTAGAAAATCATCTACTAGAGCATTTTCGTTGCTTCTTTCCGCTGACTATAGTTTCATTCATCAAAAATAAAACGTGTGCTGCAGAACTTTCTTACACTTCCTACTGCTGGATCCCCTAATGCTGAAAACTGAGTCCGTTTTAAGTCATTCCACTATGCATTTGTACCAAATACTGTCAGTCTCGAATTGGTTTAGCAACGCCTGCGTTTTAACACAAACATTTTTTAATGCTACGTAATTAATAATATAAAATTGAACTCTTAAAGCCCACACTAGAATGAAACACCATCCACCCCTTTAAGAGTGGATGCCTGGAACATTTTAATACACGCCACACGTAGACGGGCTGCAGAACCTCCACACTGGCACAAGCTGCATGCAGTTTCCAGTACAGCTTATTCTTAAACAGATTTTGCATCATCCTCAATACTAAACATTAAACATTACCAAAGTCCAGACGCACTGAATTAATGATCACAAGCCCTATGATCTCCTCCGAACATTCACGCTCGCCTTTTTTCTCGTGTCTTTTACTGTGAAGTCTCCAAACGTAAAGAGCCAGGGAGTTTTCCCGAGTAACTACGCAATTAAGTCTCTCCTTGGGCGCTTGCAATTGCCACGCGAACTTGCAAAGTGGACAAAACCAGATGCAAAGGGGGGAAGGGGGTTCTGTTTCCTTAAATACTGAAAGATCTTAATCATCTTTTTAGAGTAGAGTATTTGCGAGACGCCAAAGATTTTCCAAGCCCACCCCTCCCCCGCGCGTAAGCCTCTCCCCCGCGCCCTCCCTCCGCCTCCCCTCTCCAAGCCCGGGAGGTCGTCCCTGGGACGCGGCGCGGATGCTACTCACCGAGTTTTTCCACCAACTTGAGCATCACCCCTCCAATGTGCACCTCGCCCGTCACCCTTAAGGTGACATCGCGGTTCAGGTCCGTCACATGAACGCTCAGTTCCCACGTCCCGTCCGCATAGCAGCCATCTGGCATCCTTATCCCGTCCAGAGCCATGGCTCCTTCCTGCGCGCACGGAGGAAATGGCTCTCGTTAGCGTCACTCCCCCAAAGGCAGGCGAATCCCACCGAATCCGCAGAGTCGGCCGCGGAGGGGAAGGTGGGAGACCCGAGGGTTTCCGCACCAACTTGGGGGAGCGGCGGCGGCGGGGCGCGCCGGCGGGCGGGACAGCCCCCGCGCCCCTTCCCGGCCGCCCCAGCCAAGCGGCCCCAGCCTAGCGGACTCGGCGGGCTTCACCTGCCGGCCGGCGGCCGCGCCCCGGCCCGGGGAGAAGCCGCCCGCGGCTCCGCATTCCTCTCCCCGCCGCGCTCCCCCGCCGCGCTCCCCCGCGCGCCCCAGGCGGGGCCCGGCCCCTCACCGCGCGCTCCCTGCGCACCCGGCCCGGAGCTCGCGCGGCCACAGGCTGGGGGCGCCGCGCCCGCGTCCCCTCCTCACCCGCGAAGCGCTGCCTCCCGGCCGGAGCGACTAATGGAGTCCCGCGGCTCGGCCCCTCGCCTTTCTCCCGGCGCTCCACCCTCTCCCCGCCCCCCGCCCGGGCCCGGCGGGGCTGGGTGCGCCTGCTCCCGCCTCCTCCGCCCGCCGAGCCGCCCCGGAGCGGGTCTGGCCGGCCTCGCCCCCTCCCCCACCGTACCCCGCGGCTGCGCTCGGCTCGGGGGGCCGCGCGGACTCCGGGGCCGGGGGCGGGGCGCGCGCGCGCGGCCGGGGCGGGAGCCGTGCGGGGAAGGCGGGGGGCGCCCGCGGAGACACAATCTCGGCCCCGCCGAACCGCTGCCCTTTTATGGAAATGAAGGACCCGGAGCAGGACTGAATCCAACATCCGGGCTCTCGGCCGCGGCCCTGAGGAGGGGGAGCGAGGGGAGCGCGGGCGGCCTCCCGCCGGGAGCGGGTGGGCTGTGGGGCGGCTCCCCGGCGCGCCCGGGAGTGCGGCTTGGCGAGGCCCGCGCCGGCGGTGTCGGCGCTCGCGGCCGGAGGAGGGGGCTCGTCCCCGAGAAGCGCCTCAGGAACTTCCCAGGGCGAGGTCGTCGCGCAGGGAACAAAGCCCCCCCCCCGCCCCCTCCCCGGGCCTGGCGCGCGTCCAGGGGTCTCGGGGCGGTGAGGAGCGCGGCGCCCGGGAGCTGGAGAGACAGGGCTGTGGGACCGAAAAACTTTAGAAAGTAGATGCCCAAGCCGGCTCCATGAACAGCCCGCAGAAGAATGAGAAAAGTCGGAGGGAGGAGAACCACAAAAATTGCTTGGCCAGCGATGTCCGGCACAATGAGCAGCTCCTGCTGGGCTCCCGAGAGTTTGCAAGCGGGCTTAGCCCGTTCGCGAGCGCCGGCCAGAAGCCGGTCAGCTGCTCCTCAGCTCTAGTTTGAGGGGGAAAAAACCAGTGGAATGACTTTCACTCCAGCTTTTTTCTCCAGCAACTCCAGCTGTTGGTGCGTATTTGTATTGTTTTTATACGCAGCTTAGAAGTAACAGTCTACGAAGGCTTTTAGATGGATATGCATCCTCCACCCCAGCCGAGCCACACCTTAAGAAAATTTTAATAGCTCTGGAAGGTTGCCCAAAGGATACAGGGAGGAACAAAAGGACTTTAACCTGTGGCTCTTGACAGGGATGGAGACCGGTCCTCCACCTTCCCACTTTTGCTTCCATTTCCCCATCTACTGTCCACGCCTTAGAGGGGTGCTCACTGCTCAGAGACTGCGGGCCGGGGAAGCCGCCTCGCTGGCAACTGCGCGGATCAAAACTTTTTCGTGAGGAAGACTCGGATAAGATGCCAGGCCCCATGAAAGATCCCAGTTTTAAGTCTCCAAGTCTTCTTGAACTGTCTCACCAGCACTTGGAAGAGGAATCCACCAGGCAGATAACCCTGTGCTCAACAACACAATAAAAAGGGGTGGAATCCATAAAGAAGTGAAAAGAAAGGAACGCGTTTTAGTCAGATCCCAGAGGTTTGGCACACAAAATAGGGAAAACCACTGCAGTATTTTCAGCCACTCATCATGGAGAAATTGATGCCTCACATCTCTAGTCTCTACTCTCCAATTATTTCTACTCCTGGAGGTTCCAGAAAGTTCAGAGGAGGGAACATATATGTAAATTATGATGTTGAAAGTATGTAGAAAATGTTTTTAATAAAAAAGCATTTCTTAAAAATTGTGGTTAAAAAGACTAACGCAGCTGTAAAATCTCAAGCTTATTTATTTTTAAATATACACAGAAAAAGACTGGAAGGAAAGGCACTAAAATTGTGGGTTGTTTGTTTTTTTTTTTCCCTATTCTTTATTTTCTATGCAATACAATGCTTTGCATTCAGGATTGTTCGGTCACCACTTCAAGTGCATCTACTATCTCAGTTTCTCTGTCCGTGCTGTTACATTCCCAGGAATAGGTACAGGGTTAAATCACCTCCACTGGGCTCTGGGCAGGATTTTCAAGGTTTCCTTTTGTGGTGTTTTCAGTATCTCTAAGTGAAACGTGAGTTCTTTGAGAGCAGAGACTTCATATTGGCTTGCGTTGTCCAAAAATTTACAAGTAATCTGGAGAAAATGGAAAACAAGTTAATAGCAAATCAACAGAAATGTTTAGGAAATAGTAGTTCTGCCCCATACAGAAATCTCGTTCTTGAGTAAGTCCTCACTTTTAAATTTTGTGTTTATTTCTACACCTTGTTCCAAAAAAATTTATAGCAGTGTGTAAAGATGCATTAAGATAATGTATATTTTATTTTTTTTTAATATTTATTTATTTATACAAGCACTGGGTACAGTCAGAAGCGCGGGAGGGTGAGAGAATTCACCAGAGTCAGAACGGGGAGCAGAGCAGGCAGAAGGACTGAAGTACACTGCTGAGGGGAGCTGTGGGTGAAACGGGAGAGGTCTGCTGTGTAATGTGGGTAGCTCCCTGGCCGGGGATCAAACTCCTGCTGCCCTGGCTATACCTTCATAGGTTGCATCTTAACACCTTGTGCCACCAGGGAGGCCCCTACTGATAGCTCTTTGCTCACTTTCCAATTAGTTGCTTTCCAATTAGTTGCTTTTTGAACTTCACCACACTGCCTACTACTGCCCACTTTTTGATTGTTCCCTACCTTTACAGAAAAAAGAAGAGAAAATTTAATATCACAAGTAACAGCTCCATATAACATTTGAAATAACTTAATTATTACTTTATTAGAGACAGCTAGCTTTAGAAAATCAGCTGTTTATATTTGAGCTCAGGAAGGCAGTGTGACCCATTGAAGAAATAATTGGATTAGGATGGGTACAAGCCCTCTTTCGGAGTATTTCAAGCTGTTGCTTGCTTTGAAGATTAAAAAGGAGTCAGACTGAAGTCTCTTAAACTGGATGTTTTTCTAGTTTATTAAGTGAGTCCTTCAACTCCATTTCTTAAATATTTGTTTCTACCTACTCTCTTCCCATATATTCAAATGTGGAATCTTATCTGAAAATCCTCCACTAAAACCTCTAAGACAATGCAATACTTGTGGTGCTTACATCATGCTGAAAAGTAGCCGAGAACGCCAATGTTTGGAAGAACAGCTTGAGCATTGAAAGCAGCAATATCCAAATAAGGTACCAAGTACTGGACTTAGATTTAGACCAAATGATACCTCACAGATCTGCCGTCAAATGCAGCCCTCAGGCTTGATAATACTCTGGTTGACTTCAGCTTTTTCTCTGAGCCAACTACACTGCTTTTATATTTATAAAAGAATTAATACAAAATATTGTCACTGGGTTTGAAAGAGAGATTGGGAGTAGGAGAAAATAATAAAAGGTTTGTGTAATAATAAAAGTGTGAATGTGTAAGTGTGGCTGGAAGGGGGAGACTTTAAAATACCATATGAGGCCAGCAGGATGAAATGTCATGAATAACTCCTGTCAAATACCAGGTGAGCAGAATTCTCTCTTTGTCTTGGGGGTTGTCAAAAATAGAACGTACTGGTAAAGCCACTCAGGAGATAGAAATTAAGGGGCGTAGGGTGTGAACTAAAAATGGGAAGGGATGTTGCAGGTGCTACTTTTTGATAAAAGTGGGCAATCACTATAAACAGCAAGAAAAGGCAGGAAACCTCAGAAACAAGAAAGATTTGTTAGGAATGTAGCTGTTTTCACCCAGGCCTCTGTGGTAACAATGAGATCTCTATTTCAAGTGGAAAAACGCTGCATTTACTGCTCTAGATTATGGAATTTTTTTTGAAGAAAACCATGCTGAATGATACTCTAAATTTTTTTTCCTTTTGATGTAAGTTTGAACATCATGTCATCTTAGGAAATGTTCTGCCCCTCACAAAACTTCACACATACACTCACATAAACAAGGTACTTAATTGTGTACTTAGCACAGTGCAGTGAACTAAGACTGAGATGTAGACATATAACAGGTGGCAAGAACTTTGAGGCAATGTTGATCTAATGCAGGAGTGTAGGGTAAATAAAAAGTGTCAGGTTTTTCTGCCCTCCCACCATTAGATTAAATGCATGCCTGATGGCAGTCTCGTGGAGTGGGGTGTGGGCATCCATAACCTGGGCTGAGACTGGGCTCATAGGGTGGCATCATTGGACGCCAGAGGAAAGGAACCACCAGAAGGAGAACAAACAGAAGAGCGGAATAGAACCAGCCAAAGAGAGAGAATGAGACCACGAGAGAAAGCAGGAGAGCCCAGGAAGAGTGAAGACTCGCCAGGGGCTAGGAGGTCTGCCCACCTCCGTGTCCCCCTGCCCCCAGTACCCCTGCCTGCGGTGTACCTGGTAAAATCTCAATAAAGCCTGAAAGCCACCGAGGGCTCCTGGACTCCTCCTTCACCCATCTGCTCGGATCATAGAGAACCAGCTCTGTGCCCTCCTGGCACTATAAGGCGGCTTATATATAAAACATCAGAAAAGATACACGCAAAAAGAATTAATTTAGACCCCTACCTTACACCATATAAAATTTAACTCAAAATGAATCAAGACCTAAATGTAAGATTAAAAAATATAAAATTCTTAGAAAACATCTGAACTTGCATCAGGCAATGTCTTCTTAGAAAAGACATCAAAGCAAAAGTGACAAGAAAAACTAAATTGGATTTTATTGACAGTAAAAAATGCTTATATTTCAAATGACAGCATCATAATGTGAATAAAACCCACAAAATGGGAGAAATATTTGCAAATCATATATCTCTTAAGAGTTTTACCTAGGATATATAAAGTGCTATTATACCTCATAGCAAAGAAACAAATAACCCAAGAGAAAATGGGCAAATGTTGTGAATAGTTTTCTAAAAAAGATATACAAATGGTCAATAAGCACATAATAAGATGCTTGACATCATTAGACATCAGGGAAAAGAAATCACAATGTGATAACACTTCACACTCATTAGAATGACTGTAATAAAAAATGACAATAAGTATTTGCAAGGATTTGGTGAAATAGCAACCACAATACATTTCTGGTAGAAATGCAAATGATCACAGCTGCAAAAATTTGGCAGTTCATCAGAATGTTAAATACACAGTTACCACATAGCCCAGCAATTCTATTTTCTGGGTATTTCAACACATATGTCCACAAAAATAGTTGTAAATAAATATTAATAATAGTAAATGATGGGAAACAATAAAAAATGCACATTTTGTTAATTCTTTTATCACTTGAAAGACACTTGTGTTGTATCCATTGTTGGGTCTTGGAGCAGGTTACTCCAAAATATGCCAAAGTGACACATTCATTATTTTGAATTAAAGTAGCCTGAGAAATAGCAGGTAGAAGAGGGCATTCTGAGCCTCTCTAATCCCTTTACCAGCAGACAGAGACATCCTTACAGCCAGAGGTAAGGAATACAGGGATGAGAAGGCCATATAAATAAACTGCTTAGTTCCACGCCAATTATTACTCAAGTCTAAAGTCTTTTTATCTTGTCAGTTCTTTGTAAATTTTCTGTTTCTTTGCCTAAAAGGTATATAAACTGACTCCTTCGGTCATTTTGCCAGTCCCATATTCCCAAGACCTCCATACATATGAAACTGAAGAACCAAGAGGGGCAAGGGTACAATTTCCCCTCCTAACACCATGTTTTGACTATTATCGATATTTCTGTACAAGTAATTTTTTTTTAAGATTTGTTTTATTTTTTTATGCATATGAGAACTGGGATATAGGCCAGAGGTGTGAGGGAGGGGGGTGAGAGGATTCACCAGAGACAGTGTAGGGAGCAGAACAGGCAGATGTACTTAAATACACTGCTGAGGGGAGCAGTGAGCAAGACAGGAGAGGTCTGCTGCACCATGTGGGTCAGCTCCCTGGCCGGGGATCGAACTCCTGCTGCAGTCCCTGGTGATAGCTTGATAGCACTGAGACTTAGCCCCTTAGCCACCAGGGAGGCCCTGTTCAAGTAATTTTTAATGACTCATTAAAAAACAACAACAACAAGAGGGAAAAAAACTTAGCCCAGAGATTAAATTGTGAAGTACAGAGTCCACCTTAAGGACTGTGATAACCTAGCCTCTAAAAGATCATTCATCAATGGGCCTCCCCTGGTGGCACAGCGGTTGAGCGCTGGGCTGCGAAGCAGTACGGCAGACCTCTCCTGCTGTGCCCACTGCTCCCCTCAGCAGTGTACTTCGGTCCTTCTGCCTGCTCTGCTCCCCGCTCTGGCTCTGGTGAATTCTCTCACCCTCCCGGGCTTCTGACTGTACCCAGTGCTTGTATAAATAAATAAATAAATCTTAAAAAAAAAAAATAAAAGATCATTCATCAAGTCATAGAACATTTATGAAGAAGCTAAATTTAAGCAGATCTGTAGGTGCAGAGTCAGGACTGGAAATCATGAGGCAGAAGTGAGCCTGGCATGCTCACCAGCCAGGGAGGAAAGGAGTGCCGAGGAGAATGAGTGTGGAGAGAGGCCAGGTTAGGGATAGCAGTTTGGACAACGAGATAGAAAACGTGGAACCATTAGAGAGCTGGGCATGGTGTATAAATCATGAAAGCTATATTCAAAAGTGGTTAATTGGGTAAAAGTATGCATGATGAGTTGAAAGCACTAGTTACTTAAATCAAGAAGATTGGCTTGAAAGCTGGTTATAATTTATATGTAAGAAAAAGTCTTTGGCTAGTAAGGCAAGTAACAGGGGTGTGTGGGAAGAAATTTAAAAAAAAATTATCAAAAATTTGAATTTTTGATGTTCTAAGTGCTGTGCAGGGCTCTTTAAATGTTTCTTACAACAACCCTGAATTTTTATTATCCCTTTTTAACATGAGTTAACTGATGGCTAGATTGATTATCTGGTAATATAATGTGTCCCATACGACAAAGCTATTATATGGAAGAACTGGGATTATAATCTAGTTTTGAAAAAGGAAAATCCTAAATGCTTCAAAGTTTTACTTTCAGGAGACTGGTGAAAAACAGTAGACTTAGTGACCTAGGAAACAAAGTTGGGAGGAGCTGGTTTCAGAATTAAGGAAAAGATAAGGTGTTCTTAAAAAGAAATACTAAACTTGGGGTGAAAGCTATTTATCCCAGTAGAAACATTTAGAGGGCAATTAG